GGATCTATCTTCCTCCTCCTCCCTTACCTCTTTCCACTTCCTTCTGCCTCTGCCAGGCCCCTGTGCTACACTGCTCAGCTTTAGAGCCAGCCAACCATGGACTGAAACTTCTCCTCCTTTAAGTTATGGGTGTCGGGCATGAGGTCCCAGCGATGAGAAGGCAACTAAGACACGCCCCCCAGGACAGCACGTGGATTCAGGTTCTGCCATGTGGGGGCTGGCATGAGGGGAATGACTGGGAGAGAGGTGCTTGCCAGATGGAGCTCAAGGGCAGAACCTGTCCTTACCGCACGACCAGAGGTCTGTCCCCATCACCCACAGCACCCGGTTACCCTCCTGGCATCTCCCCAGTCTGCCACAGCACAAAAGTCCCCACTAGTCCAGTATCTATCCAAACCCTTCTGTGCTCCGCAATGAAGGCCACTGAGAGAGGCTGGGTGGAAGAACTGCTCAACTACACTGAGGATGCAGACAGGTGCCACCTTCCAGGGACCAGCACAGGAGAGATGGCTTTGTGCAGCAAGAGTGGGCAGGGGTACATCACCAGCAACCAGAGCCGTGGGGCTCTTTCTGACACCCAGGGAACCCAACACACATTCTGCAAAACTAAATTAATCCAGGAATCACAGCTCCCCCAACAGCGTCCCTGTCCCATTCCCAGCTGCTGCCACAAGATGACCACAAAACTGAACACAGCCCTCCAGTCTATAGGACATGCCCAGTTCCTTCCTTGACCAGCCTGACCTACTCCAAGGGCTCTTGGCCTCTGCCTAAGGGGCAATGTCCCCCTCCATCCATTCCCAGAATGCCCACCTTGCACAGCAAGGCATGGGGGCGATGGGATTCCCCCAGAACCAGTGCAGCCAGAACGGAAGGACTCAGGTCCCCAGCACCAGGTGGGTCACCCCATATCCCACAAACCAGGACCCTTCCCAGACCTCAGATAATGCCAGGTTCCCCGAGGGAGGAAGAGGAGAAGGGGCAGAGGAAGTCTGCAGAAGGAGACCAAGAGGAGCTTTGAGATCAGAATTAAATTCTTTAATACAAAATGCTTTTAAGATATAGCTGTATTTCTTTGTTGTTGTTTAAAAATAAATATGTACTACGGAATATCCCGAAAAAACTGCACTAGAGACAAAAGACGTGATGTTAATCTTTTTCCCCCACAATTATTACGGATAAACAGTAGCACCAATAAATAAATGATAACAAATATTAAAATTAAAAAAGGAGAGAGATTTAGTATGTAGAATTCTCTATTTTTTCTTGTTTTGTTTTTACATATAAAAAACAGAATAGCAACGTCTATTTTATCAGAATCACATATATACATAAACATATATATATATGTATATATATATACACACAAACACAAGTTGCCAAATATATATATATAGTATGTAGATGTATATTGAAACCTTATTTAAAGGAATGTGTGGTGGGAGCCAGGGGAATGGGGAAGGCAGAGCTAAGTGTTAGCAAATTAAATATCTGTTCGGGACAAGCCAGTGACTGTCACCAAGCAGGGAGAGAGAGATTGGAAATATGGATTTTATACACAAAAACCAGTACAAATAAGAGAGCAAGAAAGAGGGACAGATACATTTCATAAATAGTTGAAATTAAATATTAACCAAGAATACTGAAAAAACCCTACTCTTTAATTAAATTAACTGTTTTAATTTCTAATTAAAAAGGGATATTAAATAAGTACCGTATATAAAACACTTTCTCTTTTCTCTGTCTCCATGGTGGGCATATGGATCCTGCCCATCTCTCTGTGCCTCGGGGAGGGGAGAGGAGGGGAGGAAGGGAGCGGATGGGGACAGAAGGGACAACCACTCACACACACACAGCCAGGTCTCCTGGGGGACTAGTGGTTTCAATGGTCTGAGGACGCGATGCCGTCCTGGGCTGCTTGCGGGGGGAGGAGGGCAGGGAGAGGACGAGGGGGGCCCGGGAGGAGCCGTCACCCAGCACTTCTACCGATGTCCCTCTCCTTCATGAGGACACCCGTCTGTGGCCTCTTGGGTGGCGGGAATCAGGTGAGCTCAGGTGAAGGCTGCTGGGCTCTGACTCTTCCAGGCAGCGTGTGGCAGGGGTCTGCAAGCCCTCCGTGTCCTGAGGCTTCCGACTCCCGTCTGGAGCCAGTGTCCTCATCCCTGCACCTGCCATCTGTCTCTGTCCGTGCGACTCAGGGCGGAGGCTCAGGGAAGCCAGGGCTGGGTTTGTCGGTGTTTCCGGAAGCGAGCCAGATTTGCCCCCTCGCCCTGGCTTTGCATGTTCCCAGGCAGGGGAGAGGACCCTGGCCTCCCAAGAAGGGACAAAGTGGTCACACCAAGGTCTCTCACCCCATCCTCTTCCCTGTCACGTTCTGGGAGGGACATTCTCCTCCCAACTCAAGTCCACAGCAGTCAAATACATCCAGTGAAGACACCAATAACATTAGCAAAGTTAATTTAAAAAAAGAATATATATATTTTATATATATA